TACCCTGCATCCTACACTGGGATATCTGAAAAAGTCCACCCCTGGGGAAAGTAGGAGCACTTTCCAAACAAAGATCATGTGAGGACACTTGGGGACACTTTACTCCCAAGAGCAAACACTGACTAGGATGTCTTTTTTTGCTATGATGGGATCTGGTAGAAAAGTTTCAAGTTACCAAGATAGAGAATATGTTCTAATGTCTTGTAAATGAACCAAATACCCTTCCCTTAATGGAAGAAGAGATGTGTGCGTGTGTTTTTAAATCACTGATATTGATAGCGGGGATAACAGTAATAGTCCTCACGTGCCTGGCACTGTGCTCTGTGTTGTACACACCTTTGTTACGTAGTCCAGACAGCAACTCAAGGGGAGTGGGTGTGCATACCTCAAAGCCTGGCGGGGGCGGTCCTTAAGCCTGCCCTGATCCCATGGCTGGTGAGCGGAGCCAGGGTGAGACCCTCTCCGTGGAGCCAGGACTCAGAGCTAAGTCATGGTTTCCCACAGGACAGGAGGGAGCACAGTGCTTGGGATCGTGGCTGTGCCTCTGTTGCTGCCCCTCTAGGCCTCGGTTTCTCCCGCGGTAAAGATGGGATTGGATTAGATGTGCTTAAGACTGTTAGCAGCTACATATGTCTGAGATTTGACCTCTCTGTCATTTCAGAGCCAGCTTCCTTTGGGAAACATTGTTGTCACAAGAAAAAAATTGCCTTCTATCAAAGTGTTCTCTAGTCTTGGACAAAGTGAAAGGTGTTAGTGCCAAAAATAGGAAACCATTACTATAGGAAACGGGGGTAGAGATGAGGATAAGGGGGGGGGGGTGGATGGGCTAGCATCCAAAACTGAACAGGGACATGGTTCTTAGGGAGCCACAAGATTATACATCTAATTCTCTACCCTGCATCTCAAGCCTGCTAGAGATAGTGAATGTCAAAGTGGTAAGGGTCCTCCTCTCAGCTCCAAACTCAGAAACTTGTGTGACAGGTCAGGAGGGGTCCCCAGCAGCTCACCCCTTCATTTTATGTCAGTGGGCTCCCACCCTTGGAAGACAGAGACCTCTGAGGCCATATGGCCCAAGCTTCCAGAGAATTTAGATCGGGTGGGCCCCCAGGTGTACCATCCCTGGTACTTGTGTCTTCAAGAGCAGGCTGTGGTAGACCAGGGCTTTCTTTTGGAATATGGAACTCGTAAGACTCTTTCAGCCTCTCTTGTGACAGCTCATCTGCCAGACTGACTGAATGCAGTATAGTTGGGACAAGGAGTCCGGAGCCCTCCTGTTGTTTCAGGAAGCTCCTCTTGTCCATCTACCCCGAAGACCTGTGATTTGCCAGCTCACTCTACAGTTAACCACATTCTTAGTAGGAATTAATGAATCCAGGTGATAAACTGTGATAAAGGATAGTCAAGATTTCCTAGCTTAGATGTAGGGAAAGCCTGCATTGAGTCCCATTGGTAAGAGATGTTGAGTTTTTCACCCAAAAACAATTTCTAGAAGGTCCCCAATTTTTGAACTGCTCTTTTATTCATTGTTAGGTTGGTGTTTTAAACGTAGAAAATTGTAAATAGCATTTAGGTTTCCAGGCTGGCCTGCTTAACCCATAACACAGCTGAAACACTCCCTATTACCATGAATCATAATGGAAAATAGTATTTCTGCAAATGAGGAGTATAGAATTGCAGTTGCAGACTCCCTCTGTCTTGAACCACTTTTGGAAGGCCGTCAGCAGTCCCAGCCAGAATATAAACACATTTACACTGAAGTGTAAAAGCAGGATGTCCGATTAATCTTTACTCTGATAAGAGGGGAGTGAGGAAGGAGTGAGAGGTTCCTGGAGCTCTCTGGCCTTGTCCGGAGAAGCAGCAAGGAGAGCGGTACAGTTGAGGGTTCTTGTATGTGTAGCTCTTGCCATCTCCAGTGAGCATTTCTTCCAGGGTCTTCTAAATATCCCGTGGACCAGCAGGTCCAGAGCTGATAGGAACAAGGGTGGGTAGCAGGCAGGGAAGACACTAGAGCTTCTGTAGTTTTGAGCAGGACAGAACCTGTTGGCAGCCTGCCTTCTGGTTCAGAATGGATGGGCTGGGCCTGCTCCACAAAACAGCTTCTGGTCCTTTTCAAGTCAGCAGTCCCATGCCCACCAGTACATCTGGCTTTCTACCAGGCACAGGCTAGCCCGAAGCACCCCGTCCTCCAGGGGCACCACCCTGTTCTTCTTCTTTTTTTTTTTTTTTTTAAGATTTTATTTATTTATTTGAGAGAGAGAGAATGAGACAGAGAGAGCACATGAGAGAGGGGAGGGTCAGAGGGAGAAGCAGACTCCCTGCCGAGTAGGGAGCCCGATGCAGGACTCGATCCAGGGACTCCAGGATCATGACCTGAGCCGAAGGCTGTCGCTTAACCAACTGAGCCACCCAGGCGCCCCACCACCCTGTTCTTCTAAGATGGGAGCTAAAGTGGTCAGAACAAGGAGACTGCAGTAAGGTCCCACTACAGCCCAGACTGGGCACACTATGCCCTTAGGAAATTTAAATCCCTCCACTCTCTTGGCTGATTTTCTCTACCAAGACTTGTAAATTGAGATTCCCAATTTAAGAATTATTTATTCTTCCCTGAGTGGATCCCCTCTCTCTGCCTCTCTCCCTCTCTTTCCTCCCCTTCCCACCCCACTTTCCCCTCCCTTCCACTCTCCCCCTCCCTCCTCCTCATCTGTCCTCCCTCCCTGTCCCTCTCCCCCTCTTTCCTACTCTCCCCCTCCTTCTCCCCGTCTCCCTCTCCTGCTTCCCTGCATCTTGCATTTACTAAAGCTACTCACTGACCATTGGAAATACCCAATTAAATCCTGAATGCTGTGTAACTTAAATTCAAATTGTACCCCAGGAATTCTGACACAGACTGTGTTTCCCATTGATTTAAAAAATTAAGACTCAGTGATATAATGTAATTCATTATTATGTAATAAGAGCCTATTATGGATTGTAATTTTTCAGTGACTAACTCAATTTTACTTATTAGTGTTCATTTAAATCTTAGCTTATTATATGTTCAATTCTACAAGTACTAGAACCATTTTCTTCAAAAGTCAGCCATTCGGATTTTTTCCCATCAGTTTAGACAAGACTTTCTTCCTTTCTCTTCCTCCAAAAACATTCAGATAAGTGAAGTTTTCTCCTACATTTAAATCAGTGACTGAATAGGAGCAAACTGGAGGATGATTAATTTTTGACCAGAAGCACCAAAGTGAAATGAATTTTTATTAATTTCAAAATCTGACATTCCGAGGACCCTTTAGTAGGACCTGGGCTTCTATGCAGTGAATCAGTTCAGTGCAGAAACGAACCTGTATCTTGAAATGCAACTTTAAGATAACTTCAAACCAAGCTGCAGTTTCATTAGGAATGTTCCCCTGATTTACATTTTTTTGGGTTTAGTAAATTCAATTCAAATTTATTTCCTCCTAAATGAATTTTTACTACCGGAATGCCCTTGTATGGAAATGATCTTCTGTCATTATGTGGTTTGCCTGCCCCAGAGGGTGAGATGGCCTTGAAACTGGAGTGCTGACCAGGGCGTGGAGAGTTACTTTCAAGGCTGCATATGCGTGCGCAGACGGCTGAGGCAGGAGGGAAGGGCACCCTCAGGAAGGAAGGTGCTCGTGTTTGTGCCTTCGCCCTTTAGGACAAAACACTCCGATTTGGCAGTTCAGCCAAAAGCATCTTTAAAGGCAGCTGGGGAGCTGTCTGCCTGTCTTCCTCCCGACATGGCCCTGTCCCCACCTCTGCCTCCCCCACCAGGGAAGTGGCTTCTGAGGAGGCTGCTGAGGAACACATTTACACTGAAGTGTAAAAGCAGGATGTCCGATTAATCTGCTCTCCATTGAACCAGAGGCCTCCCCTCCGAGGCTACTGAGACATGAAGATGACTGACCATTTCAAGATCCCTTACAACTCCAGATACTGTAGACCCTGCACGTGAGCTAGGGGTGCTCTCAGCGTCACTGAGTTTCTCCATTACCAAATTGGGAAGACTTCAGTTTTAAGAAACAGAAATCGAAACGAAGTTGATAGAAAAGGTAAATTCCTACAGCATTTTTGATAGAAACTCTTCATTTTCTACTCTGCAGCTCTTCGGCTGCACGAGGGTAGGGCAGTCAGAGGTGGGGGCTGGGTGCGAAGGTTACACAAGGGATCCCAGAATGAAGGGAAAAGGACAGAGAACCTGCCCCATAAGCACTGTTGTCCTGGCTGCCGTGGCTGGCATTCATTTTGACAAGGCCATCAAGAGGTGATATGCAGAGCAGCATATTTATTTTCTGTGATTCTTAGTTTTCAAGGTGAGGGATGCATTTTGATGTCCTCTTAATTGTTCTTAAGCATATATTATAGGCTATCATCCAAAACTCTTTTCTAAACTTCCCCTGAAGCAAATATTTTAGCTCTTGTAAGTTAGGTATTGGCCGCATAAAGGCGTTTCACCTGATACTTGCTGTGAGTTTGTTCCTTTTGACCTTCGCCAAGTGGCTCCAGGTTGTTCTATTATCACATCATGCCCACCATCTCCTGAGGAACTTTGATGCATGGATCCTCCTGATCCTTCCTGCTCTGTCGTCTTCAGTGTGGCAGCTCTGTCCTCAGAGAGCTCCCCTGACATCGTAAGATGGCTGTAGCCATTTCAGACATCCCAGGCAGAAGCAGCAATGCCCAGGGGACTGGAGGCATCTCTCCCCTGAGTGTCTCTTAAGAGCGAGGAAGCTTTTCCCAGAAGTGTCCAGCAGACTCTGCCATGTCTCATTGGCCAGGAGTTGGTCAAATGTCCCTTTAGCAAGGAGTGGGATTGTCTTGACCAGTTGAGATGAATTAGGACTTACCTCCATCACTGAGAGAGGAGTGTCACAACCAAACAGAATCTGGGCCTTTCCAGCCAGGGAGAAGGAGTGATGGCTTTTGGGCAGCCAGTGATGCCAGTTTCATCATCTGTCTTCCTGGACTCAGAGAATACTGTCCACCTATTTATTTATTTTAAGAGTTCAGCTTTTTTTTTTTTTTTAAGGTTTATTTATTTATTTTAGAGAGAGCACGAGCAAGGAGAGGGGTGGAGGGATAAGCAGACTCCCCACTAAGCGTGGAGCCCAATGAGGATGCAGGGCTCGATCCCACGACACTGAGATCATGACCTGAGCAGAAATCAAGAGTCAGCCACTTAACCAACTGAGTCACCCAGGCGCCCCAAGAGTTCAGCTTTTTATTAACTGTGTTACAGAAGACGGTTAGTCAAAAAGACCAAAGCCCATGTCATCATCAGACTCTTCAGATTCTTCTTCCTTTGCTTCCAGCTCCTCCTCAGCTGGGGCAGCCATGGTGGGGGGAGTGGGACCTCCTGCTGGTGTAGCAGCAGCTGCTGGAACAGGGCCCCCAGCCCCTACCTCGCAGATGAGGCTCCCGATGTTGACACTGGCCAGGGCCTCTGTAGACAAGCCCAGCCACAAGGGTTCAACACTTCTACCTGCTGCTTTAATGAGGGCATAGATCTTATCCTCCGAGACTGTCATCTCATCGCTGTGCAGGACGAGGGCCAAGTAGATGGAGGCGAGCTCCGAGAAGGAGGCCATGGCTTGGGTGCGCTGCTGGTCTGCGGGTGAAGAAGTGAGGGCCTCACCCCAGCACGGCCTTAGCTCCCTCAGAAAGACCGAGCGCCTTAGCGGCAACTGAGGAAAACCCATACTGACCATTGACATTTTTTGAATCTTTTGTCCTGTGCAAAAATAAGTGGTTTTTTTTTCCTCTTTAAGTTATAATGATTAGAGAAATGATTCATTGCTGACCTTGGGCCTCTGCTTCTTCTTGCCTGAGCTGGACAATGTGGAGGCCCTGCTTTTGATCATTGGGTTGACTGACGGGATTTTAGAGTCGGAAGGCCTTTAAGAACATGCAGCTCAGTCTTTCCATTTTACAAATAGGGAAACTGAGGCTCATGCTGCGAGGGACGTGCCCGGTGTCCCATAGCTAGGTTACCCGAGCATGCCTGTGATACCGCACGTCTCATTTCGTGTCTTTTTTTCTACTTTCGCGATGCTTGGTCCCCTTTCCTTCCAGATAATCAGTGCTATTGTGCACTTTTAAGCTTTTCTCCCTGTTAAAACTTGCCCAAGAACTAAAGAACTAGATAGCAGTCATTTATAGCCCAGCATGAATATTAGATATTTCATATTTTAAGTCTTCTCTTGAATCATTTAAAGACATTTCAAGCATTTATTAATAGGCATGAGAATTATTTTGGGGGCAGGAGAACTTCAGTTCTCTTCTTGGTCTCTCAGAATCACACCGGTGTCTCGTCTGCCTTCTTTGTCCTGGAAGGCGCAACCTTCTCAGCAGCCACAGCAGAGAAGAGAAAGGGACCTTGCTTCACTTGGGAAAAGCATCCTGCCTGACACCATCCTTAGACCCTTCATTTGATCTAAAAATGTTTTGTGAGTAAAGTACAAGCTCTGTTGTCTTCTTCTCTGTAAGCAGAGGGTGAGGTGAGGCTCATGGATAACAGGCCATAGGCCCTGAGAATGCTCCAGGCCCCATAGATGGCCCGCCATCCAAGGTAGACTTCTCTTCTCCATAAATAGATGCCTTGTATCTGGAAATCTAAGTGCCCCATCATAGAAGGCTAGGAAGCCTATTTGTACTATAAAAGTTTTGGGTCTGTTTTTCTTTTCCTATGCAGATAAGATTCATCATGGGGATCCCATGAAAGGAATAGTTAGCATATTTACCCTGGAGTATCTACCTTGGTGTATTTAGCAAGTGACTTGATTTCCACACTGAGTGCTGGTTTTTTTTTTTAAGATTTTTATTTATTTATTTATTTATTTATTTATTTATTTATTTGACAGAGAGAGACACAGCGAGAGAGGGAACACAAGCAGGGGGAGTGGGAGAGGGAGAAGCAGGCTCCCCGCCGAGCAGGAAGCCCGATGCGGGGCTCGATCCCAGGACACTGGCATCTTGACCTGAGCTGAAGGCAGTCGCTTAATGACTGAGCCACCCAGGTGCCCCCACACTGAGTGCTGTTTAAAGTGACACATATGTAGTCTTTCCCTTGAAGGGACATGCCTCCAAACTCTTCAGACCATCAGGTCAGAGAAGCAACATGCTAGTACCAAGAAGGTGGCGTAGGGTGTTGTGTCTATAGTCCTGTTTCTGAGCTGTCCTTCCCCAGTGCCACTGTGTGCTGTGGTTACTGCCTCATCTTCTTCCCCTTCCGCTAACCCTCATTCAGTGCTGGGGCGTTGAGGCTGACACCATTCTTTGTGAGGGGCAGTCTCACCCATTGCAGGGTGTTTAGAACCCTTGGCTTTCACCCCCACTTAAGTCCGCACCCAGGTATGATGACAACCAGGAGTACCTCCCCTCACCTCTGACCACCTCCTCGGGGACAGGCTGCTCCCGGTGGAGAAGGTCCATTCGACACAGAACCAACCAAGCCTGTCCCTTCCTCTGTTTTTAGGGCAGTTTTCTAGAGGAGGAGGACACTTTTTTTTGTTCACCTGGCTGCTGACACATTCCATTGTCAGTCAGCAAACAAATGAAATAAACATTGATTATCATCCCCCCCCACTCCTCTTCTCCCTGCACACCCGTGGGCCTTTCACTCATGTGTTCTGGATACATTTTCACACCAGAGAGATAGCTAAACAGAGCCTGAGGGGGTCGCGTGGGGTATTGTGACTGGAAGATCTTCACAGCAGGTCTGCTTCTTACCAAATCTCAGGGAGCAGAGCCCCAGGCTCTGTTCTTCGGTGCCCAGGCGGGCATGTGACGTCTGCACACCCACCACTTCAAAAGGGGGTCTGGGGTTGGGGAGGCTTGGCAGTTTCTTGGACATCAAACAGCGCTTGCAAAACAAATTTGATGAGTTATGAATGAATCAGAACCAGACGAGTTATATTTCTCTCCGAATGCATATTTAAAACTTTCTACACACACACCAGAGAACACCCGTACCTTCCCAGAGTATGGGGGTCTTGGCCACGTGTCCTGCAGGATTTGCGAAACCAGGGTCGTTTTCCACAACGTATCTGTCCTCATCCCTTCCCTTTCTTTGGCCACCAACCATCCTGGAAGGTCATGCACTTGGGCTCCTTTAAAGGGCTGGGTGAAACCAGGTGACAGGCTTCCGCACACTCAACTGGGAAACCTCTGTGTGTGGAAGTTCAAGGTGTCCTCCCACCCCTGCCTTGAGAGGCTGGGTTCTCACAGTGCCAACTTGGAGATAGGCTGGTGGAGGCGGGGGTTTGGGAGGTGGCAGGTCGTGGTGGTTACAGGGAGGAGGCCGACAACCCAGAGGCGCTCACTCTTAATTTGGCTTTCTCTTTCTTATCCTTCTATTCAGGTCTCATTAAATGTCACTTCATCTGACAAGTCTTCCCTAAGCTCCTATTCTAAATCCTCTTTCCTGTTATAACCTTTTATCTTGCCCTATATTGCCCTTTTCTCTTGTTCTTGTCTCTTATAGAACTTAAAACAGTCTGTAATTATGTATTTATTTGTATGATTTTCTGTCACCCCAGTAGCTGGGCGAGGTTGAGGACCTTATCTTCTCTCCGCTGCAGTATCCCCAGTACTTAGCCCAAGGCTGGCAGCTAAGAAATAGTTGTGGGATGAATAAATGGTGACAGTCTACTCCTCTTGGGTTGATGATTTTGAATAAGGGGGTAGGCAGAGGGTTTGGTGTACATGGCCTATGTTGGGGATTAACCTTGACTTGGAGGTGCTCAGAGAGGCAGGAGGGCGAGCTGGACAAACCTGGGACCGCTCCATGTAAATCAAGTAGCCCACTTGAGATCTAGTGCTTCCATAGGAGCGCCACACGCTGTAGAATCCAGGCCTTGGGATGAGATCCAGAGGGAAGAAGGCCAGTTGACAACTTATACGATGTAGATGAGTGATTTCAGAAGCACAGGGTAGTATTTTCAAAAATAAAATGAGACACTGAGAGAATGGCAGCGCCTGGGGGTTGAGTGTGCTTCTGACCTGGGAGGAGGCACTATGAACGGAGCAAAGAGCTCAGGCTTTGCCATTAAGCCCACCTGAGATTCTAGATTTCACCACTGACTGGCTGTGTGGCTCTTAACCAAGTTGTTTATGCTGTCTGTATTTTTACCTGTAAAATGGGGCTGGTGATAGCTCCCTCTCTGGGGTTTCATGAATATTCACTGAGCTGACATGTGTGTCTCCCTCATACTCAGGGTCCAGTGAGTGTTGGTTCTTAGTTCTTTTTCTCTTTTGAATAGCCAGCATGGCTGATTTCAGATTTCTCCTGCTCTCCAACCTGGTCTGTAGTCAATGATCAAATATACTAACTCTTCGTCCTGAGGTACATATGGTGCACACGGCATGTACCCATCATTGTGCTAAGGGTGGTAAAGGTTCAGAAGAAACACGTTTCTCCTATAGAATGTCTCCCCTATTGACATATTCCTTGGGGGAATATATCTTTGCTTCTAATATCTGTTTCATATTTTATATATAGCTCTGAATAAAGTGATTTTCAGTTGATATTTATATAGGAAAAGTGTATATTGATAGCCCCCAAACTCAATATAACATTTTAAAGAAAAGTCCCAAGTTATCTTTCAATACAATTGGTGAAACATGAGAAACATTTGTAGGTGTTTTGTAGAGCCCACATAGTGCCAATAAAGGGGATGTGCTTTGGGGCTGTTTTGGGGGGCTAAGAGAGTCATGTGACTACATCCAAGTAACACTGATCCATTCCCCAGGGGAGGAGTCTTGGCCATATATGTTGGAGGATTTGCAAAGCCAGTGTAATAACGAGGTAGACCAGACAGCTTTTCCAACCCCCATCACACCCCCAACACACTCTTCCTTTCCCTTTTCCTGACTGCCAACCTTCCTAGAAGGAGGTCATCCATTTGGGCCCCTTTAAAGCTCTGGGAGAAACCAGGTGACTGGCTTCTGCACATTCAACTGAGAGATCAGGAAGTGCTATTTTAAACATTTTACCTCCTAATGTGATAGTTTATATGATAGTTATGTGCTGTACTTTGCTTACATTTTAGGAAATACATTATAATATATTTTGGTTTGGGGTTGATGTAAAGCAAAACATTATAATTTTTCCTATTTAAAATAATGGGAAATAGGTTACCATTTCGCACAGCACATCTGACTTTCAGAAACAGATTACCAAAATGTGCCTTTTCCCATGTGGTCCTTATCTTCAAAGAATGTATAGTCTAGTTGGGCTGATAAGACAAACAACAAGAATTGAACTTTCTCATAAGGAACATAACATAAGATGGTATACAGTTAAATTAGGTGTTGGAGAGTGCAGTCTGGTCTGTTGATTCTATAGGGATTAGAAAAAGCAGAATCACTTGGGTGGGGGGAGATTCTGGAGAGGTTTCATGGAGGGGACAAGACCTGCAGGGGCTTTAAGAATGGCAGGGCTTGGTTAGGATAGGAATCAACGTATAGGCCATGGTTGTTGGAATGTCAGGCTTCAGAAGTTGATGTATTGTATGGTGACTAACATAATACAATAAAATTAAATTAAAAAAAAAATTTCTTCCAATGAACATTCCTCAAATACCTATAA